CAGATGAGCCATAGAAAAGACTTCCCAAGACTGAAGGTCTTCACTAACAGTCCTTAAGAACAGACGACAGGTATAACTGAATAAATCAAGTGGGTTACACAGAGTTATGTCCTGAGCCCAGTACTATTCAGTATTTTTCGTTAACAATTTGTGTGATAGAAGAAAATATATGTTTATGAAATATGTGGAGAAAGCTTAGCTGGGTGATTCTGTGAGCATGCTAAAGTGTAGGATCGAAACTCAACATGTTCTTGAGAGACTGAGGAACTGATCTGAAAATTACTTTTATTTAGGAAAAGGCAGCATAATAAAAATGCACTCAGTATTAACCTAACCTGGAGTCATACCAATTAAAATTAAAATTTTGAGATCCCGTCATTAATAACACTGAATCAAGCTAGTTCCTAGTAACTTCTGCTACAGTATATTATAAAAGAATTGGGAACAATTATGAAACATTATATAATAATACAAGCGAATACACAGTGATTTACAAACAATTCAAGCTCTCAGAAAACAGACACTGATACAGTTCAGAGCCTCCTAAAAATTTCAAACTATTATTTAACGTTGATGGCATAGTAGTGCCTAGAGATGTTGGTCAAGTCGGGCCCCCGCTGTGCTAGACACTGTACAAACACAGAAAATGACAATCTTTGCTCCAAACAGCTCCTAGTAGAAAACCCCAAGTGTTTAAGACTCAAAGCCCACAGACAGGAAAACCTCAGCCCATTCAGATATGCCTTCCCTTTGCAACTCAAAGCTGCAGAGTAGCGCTTCGCCCTGTTACAAGAAATATATCCCGATGGTTAAAACTTCGCTTGACAAAGAAAGGAATAGATGGCAAACAGGCTGCTTTCTAACAGACGAGCGGTGGATGTGCTGCCACAAAGCAGGCCAAAGCTCCTTGGGCCTCGTCAATTCCAGCATGACACACATCCTGGGGGCTTCTGTATGGCGTATGATCCGAGCACGCTGGCTGGCGCTCGCCACGCTACATCTGGACTTTGTTAGACAGCCTTCAGCTCTGTTTTCTTGCATCAGCCCTGGCCCCCTCTGGTGAAGCAGCCTCCCAACCACTGCTTCTCCATGAACTACTCACGGAGACAAAGTACTCTGGGAGGAAGTAAATTGGGACCACATTAGCTGGTGACCCTCGCCCTGCAATTGGCCTGCCTTTCCGATGATAGAGGAAATCCCTCATACAAACTGACAACCAATATGAAACAGGCAGCTCCATTTACTGGAAAGCCTGGTCAATGCTGAGTGCCTCATTAGGAAATGGTCTCTATATTGAGGCACATTCCTGCAATTCAGAGCCTAGAAACTCTAAATTAAAACAACATTGATGCCATATCCTCTTTCCGAAATGCCTCTCTTCATCCAAACTTTAATACACATACTTAAAGAAATTAAAGAACCAAAATGCCTTTTGGCAGGACTCCTTCCCTCTCTTCACAGTAACACCCTTCCCATGCAAGCCACCAGGAACGTGACACAGTGTTGGGAAGGGACAAAGGAGACTTAAAGCAAGGAATAATCGCAGAGTCCTCCAGAATCTGTACCACCTTTCCTTGATGTGTCTTCACCAATATTTTTAAGTATATAAAAATAAATTTAGTGCGGGGAAGTTGCGGGGCTGAAGAAGTTGGAATTTTTTTTGTCAAGAAGTAAATTGAGGCTCATCAGTAGAATGAGTTTTTGTTTTGGGAGAGAGTTGTATCTTTCTACACTCTAAGAAAGATCAATTAACAGTAAGTCAGTCTGCTAACAGTGGTAGCCATTGTGGCAACTCAATGATAACCAGCACAAGCAATGAAAAGGTATAATCTGAATCCTATCATACACACTTGGATCCATTCACACTCACTATTGCAGTGTAGCAGAAAACTGCTTTTCTAAAGCGTTATCTCTGTCAGAGGCTGTTTCCAGTTTGCCGTGAGATTCAGAAATCAGGCCTATGGTACCTACCACAGCATGCATAACTTCACACAAACCACCCCCTGCCGATATTGCTCAGCATTTCTATTTGCGTCCCATGTACGTGGAAACAGGAATCTTTTAGTCAACTGTGCCTGCCAGCCAACTGAAAGAGCTGCTTTCCCACCACAAAGTCTAAGCATTTCCTAGAAATGGGATGGACTGAAATACCAAATACTTATCAGGGAACTCAACAGCTCTGAAACAATGTTAAAGGCAGAAGGAAGGAATTACTGAAGTTAGGATCCCAACTCTGAATCTGAAGGGTTGAATAAACTTTTTAGGCTCCAAAATTGTTTTTCAAAGTCTTCCAGAATATCTTGATTAACTAGCATTACTTGCCTTTCTTGAACAGCTGTGTTCAATACATCTGCAAGTCTGAAAGATTTTTCATTCACAATTTCTACTGTAAATTTAGGAATTACAGCTAAATGTTTAGGAAGTTCCTGAAATGGTATATAGTCCTGTGGAGCTGACAAACACAGATGGACCTTTGTTCTCAAGATGTAGAAAAGGGTCCATGTGGAGAAAGCTTAAATTGATGAAGCAGCACAGTTGTTTTGTTGGAAAATATGAGGCTGGTGACCTGTAATAACTGAAGAGGACCACAAGGGCCAAGTACACAGATTATTTGCAAAGCATGTGGAAAAATGAGATTCTCTGTGACTATATCAGTAATGAGTAAAATCTCATAGCCTTCTCTTCTGACCCATCTCCTACTTCTGGAGCTGTCAAAGTTGGTATAATTTGAATTGATGCAGAAAAAGTACATACCAAAACTAATGGTATTGAAAAAAATAAATGCGATGTCAGATCCCCTGCAACTTACAGAGGCGATGAGTATTACTGTCCCATGTAAGTAACTTTGAGGAGATTTTCTGCCAATGTGTTGAAAGCTGCCCACAAAAAAGGATAAAAGATGATACATCCTTAAGATGTAGGATAGATTTTAGGGAGGATGTGTCAGATCTCTATTAGGCCAAATAAATATTTCTCAGGTATGGTTTAAATATAGTTTAGATTGTTTATATATAAACATACATTCTGCCTTGGGGATTGGGGATGCACTGGAGAAAACCTTGCAGCCCCATTGTCTGTGATTTTATATTTATACTTATACTACTTACATATAGCTTGTATTTATGCTACTCATAGCATAGATGTGTTGAGGAGATTACCTTCTGCTTTCTTCATTTTTTTTTTTTAAGTTGACAATCTTAAATGACCTTAAACAATGATGAATCTTTATAGCTGATGGCAGTTCTGGAACCAGAAACTTCAAAGGCATTTGGATATTCCAGTGAATTTTTTGAAAAAGGACTACTGCTCCGACATCAGCACAGAATTGGTCTCATTCCATAGCAAGAACAATTTCAAATTAATCTCCTTTGCAGTTTTAGTTTATTTGGGAAATTAAGTATCCCACACCTTAGAAAAGCACTTAGAATGGGCATCCTTAAGGGAAATGACCATGTCTTTTTAGGAACAGCATATGATATTGTAAGACTTATCAGCACTGAAAACTAATGATATGAACTACAACAATGTTTAAAAAATCACCTAACTGAAACCTAAGTCATTACAGATAGCCACAACCTTAACAAATAAATTAAATATACACAAATTTTCAGCAGAAAAAACCCCACCACAAAACACTAAAAATTGTTCCTTCTACCCACAAAGAAGGAAACTGGGAAGGGCAAGGGGCATGAAAGTGCTAGAATTTAAACTTAGGACAACAAGAACTGGCAACAAAGTTCCAAGTTCTCTTGGAATGAGCGGTAACGTATATTAAGGCTGCTACACCTACAGACAATTACATGAAGAAAATAAGTACTTCACATCGCTGTGACCACTTCTGAATCCTCTTCTAGTAGGAGGTCATCTGGCTGACAAGTGAAAGTAAAACTGTTGCTCAGAAGTAAATAATACAAGATTGTAAACTATACTTCTTGCTTGTTTTGAAGCTGGTGTAACAATCAAAATTACTGTTCTTAAATTAAACCTTAAATAATTGTTATCTTAAAAATACATGGCCAGTAACCTACTTGTATTTCCTAAGGAAGAAGCAGAGAAATCCTTTATCAAAAAGCAGACCTGGTTTTGTCTTACTGTCTTTGACAGCAACAGAAATCATCCGGTTGACAGATGAAATGTTTTACGTAAAACTTTATGAAAATAGAATCGGTGGCACTGAAGAAGTTGATACTGGATTGGCAGCAGCATAGGTGCTATTACAGGGAATGTGGCAAGGGAGTAACTCAGAAAATCCCACCAGAGTGCTGATGTGAAAAATCTACACAGATTTTTCAGATCCTAAATCTCTTTTTGCCAGGAATCCTCTTGCTTCCTCTGTGTTTTATTGGCAATGTATTCTTCACGTTGCATTCAATACTGAAACACAATACTAAATACTTGAATAGAAACACACTTTTTCTGATTGTTATGCCAACACAAAAATATCTTAGAAATGGGAGAGGCCAGAAATAGAAAAGGAGCAATCCCCTCACAAACACGAGACCTCCCAAATTCCACTCTAGTAGCTGGCATTCCCATATGGTGCTCCTGTTGCAGATTAGAAATCACAGTAGAGACTGTGTGGTGCAACACATTCACGTTTGAGCTTTATAGCAAGGAAAATTTTGTTCCATGTATGCTTCTTCCCCAAAAAGGCAAATACAGACCAGCGAAAGAAGTATCACTACATTTCCCTGAATCTGTGATTATTTGTGCCTGTAGAAGATAACAACCAATGTGCTTTTCATTCACGGTTTCCTATACATTCTATCACACGTTTACTACTCAGGCAGTGACACAAAGAAACTTCCCTCAACATTGAGAGTTCTTCTTTCCCCACCATGTTTTACAGGCTTCATGACCGGTAGCTAGTTTGAAATCATTATTTATGCACTTTCTATCCCAACATATGACAGGATTGTGCATTATTAGTTCCATAAATCAAGATAATAATCTCACAATAGATTATTAACCCATTTCTTTCCTAGCCCCCCTCTACCTACCTGCTGCTTGAGCTGTTGCACAAGGCGGTCTTTCTCTCGTTTCAGTGCAGCCACTTCATCTTGGGTCTTCTTCTTAGAGGATGAAAGTTCTAGCAGAGCAATATTGGCATCTTTTTCACTAATGGCAGCAAGAAGGGCTTCTTGTCTGAAAAAAACATATAAATACATTACTATCCTGCAAAATTTAGAGGAAGCCTCTACAAAGAGTTGAACATACCATAAATGCTGTAGCAGTGTGCAACTCCGAAGAGCAGTAATAAGTATGTTTATCATAGTTATATGTCCGTTGGTGGAGCATGAAGTCAAGACCCACCCACCTCCCCCTAAATGACTGTGCTGATACCAAATTATTGCTTATGGGATAAGAAAAACTTATAATAATATGTTATTATTCTGCACTCAGCTTCTTAGTTTTTAATAACTACCATTTATTATTACTTTGGCTGAACATTTTCATTCTTTATAATGTTCTAAATATTTCCAGAACAGATTTTGAGAATACGTGCACAAATACTGGACTAATCATAAGACTTCTGTGTTAAATTATATTAGGTTATACTGCCTATTCATGCAGCTATTTTAGAAAGAAGGTGGCATGTGACAAGTTTATTGAAATCACTTGAACAATACAGTGTATTCCCAGAAGGAAATGATGACACAGACACTTTTGTGCTATATGACAGATGTTGAAATACATGCCTTCAAGGATGCTTCAGCTATTCTTTGACTTTTCTTCTGAGTAACCAATGCAATGAGCTTGTTGGATGCATGTCCTGAGTAATTAAGATAAAGGTAGGCCTGCCCTCATCACAAACCTTTTGTAGCCTCACAGAAATGGTGTAAGCAAGAACCTTCTGTAGCAAGATCTTGAGGCTAAAGCACTAAAATAACTAGATATAGAAACACAACTCTTTCCCAATAGCAAAAAACTCTTACAAATAGAGTTCAGAAACATTTTATAGATATTGGGAAGAGAGGAGACAAAGACAATAGCCCTGATCATAAAACAGCAGTTCTCAAATGAACTCAAACGATTGCTCTATGTTAGGGAAAACAGCTATTTCTGTCCTTTGAGCTTAATTCTCACCTTTAGCTGGTGCAGCCAAATCAGGATGTGCAACAGGTCATAAAAGAAAACTTTGACCTTATTGTCCAATAGGGGTGGCTTGTCCCACCTCTCATCGCCTTGCAAAGAAGGAATAAAATGAGGTCCTAACCATTTGTGGCAGTGTCAAAGATGGCATCATGCAGAAGTGATAATGAAAAACAAACTCTGAATACTACAGATTTCCTATCTACCTTTCATCTAAAAATTTAGTCGCAAATGCAGTTAAAGTAGTAGTTAAAAATTCAAAATTCCCAAATAATCCAAATTTCTACCTGCTCTTGTTTATAAACAAAAGCATATTAATATTGCTAATTTCAGAGAATGATTTTTAAAAAATAATCAAATGTGTTAAAACTATTCTACTAATCATGTCAATAGCAATTATTATGCTAATAACATTGCCGTAATGCTTAGTCTTTTATTAAAGATGTAAGAAAAGCCATAGAAGCTTAATGTAAACTATAAAGATTGCTTTTAATTGTACCAATATATCTTTCTGCTTGTTGTCAAGATCTTTTTTAATAAAGAACCATCACAATCTGGTGACTTAGGATCACACAGGCAAACTGTTGAGGGTAGCAGTGACACTAAATCTGCTTTTTCTAATTAATCTGTTACCACTCCTTGAGCAGACTTTATTTGTAGCAAAATAGCTTTCTCTTTTTCTTCCTTTCTAAACAACTTAACTTAATCTTAGTTAGGAACTTGTAATTGTGGCTAAGACAAAAATACTTGCTCCAAAAAGTACTCATTGAGTTCCACGTGAAAGAATACGTGACAGAAAGTTTGAGAAGAACAGGACAAATGGACAATGCTTTTATTTAATATCGATGTTTTGAACATATGCATCTAAAATACTGGACTTTAAACTGAAGGCTTGAAAAGGGAAAGGACTGGTACTACTGGAGTACAGAAAATTTTACAAGTTAAAATGCTGAAAACTTTACATTTATGACCTTGGTGAGCATGAAAAGATGTATTTAATATTGTAATGTTTCTGAAGATGGAGAGTGAAATAGCTTCATCAGGTACTTCAGTGCTTAGATCAAGGGTGCAGAGAGATGCATACCTAAACATGTAGGATGTAGTCAGATAGCTTGCATTGGCTGCAGCTCAGCTGGACAATGAACTTACTGTCCTGGATGCTTACTCAGTAATCACTTCTCCCATCTGTAAGAGTAACTGCATGAATATTTGCTTCTGGACCTTGTTCTAAAAAATCTGAACAATACTGTTTTGCCTCTTAAAAAAACCCCTCAACACATTATTCTAATAGAATGGGACCAGGAAGCGGCTACACATGCAGTCCTGCTGACAGATCTGAGAAGACGGTGGCCTCTCAGAAGCAGCTCAGGGCTACAACCTTTTAACGCAGCTCGGCAGTAGCCAGCACAGAACTTCTGCCCGCAGAGTTATGTGAGAGGCACACCGACTCCACAGCCCCGGAGCAGAAACCGCCAGGTTCTGAGGTTGTTTCTTTTTGAGAGTTGTATGGGTGAGACACCAAATTTAAAAAGCTCTTGTTATTTCTTACAGGTAGAAAAAAAATATACTACCCTCACTTGAAAGGCGTTAAGTTTTGCTAAGGCAATGGGTGAAAATTGACTTGATGAGAAAGTCCATGACTGCTTTCAGATGAGTAATAGCTGGGATGGAAGAACAACTTTTTCTTACACATTACAGTTTAGGTGAGAAGAGGGTGACTGATGTATGACCTGGCTTCTTTCTGATCCCAGTCAGTGACCGAGCTCTTAGAAATATTTATGCCAGTGAAAGCTTAAGACCTCTGTCACTGCACAGCAGAAGAAACTATAGCATAAAAAACCCACTGCTAAGATGTGATCTCTGCTCATCCTCTCAGTCACTCCAACGATTGCTAGAGTTTTGCCGAAGCTACCCATACACAGAAGTTTGCTATCGATTGCTCAACTGAAGCCATATATCCTGCATTAAAAAATGTGAAAGAACCATGTATTCCAAGAGGAAAAGGTGTGTTTCAACAGACAAAATTGTTCACCATCTGACAGCAGAAAGGACTTACACAATGGACTTTCTGTGGGTGGAATATCGAAATCTATAATTGAAAGATACTCTAAATACATTTATTCTATGAAGAAACACAAATATTCTGATGACTTAATGGAGACAAAGAGTAGAAGAAAGGAAAAGGTGCACATCGGATTCCCAGTTGTAGTGCCAAGATTGTAGGTGTGGGAATGACCGATAATGGGTGCATTATTATTGCCACTTTGTTTCTGTTGCTTTTGCTTTATGGAAAAGTATCCAATTTTGAATGTCTGCCTGAAACATGAAAAATATCAATAGAGTGAAGTGACAGAACATGATCCATGACCTCTGCTTTTTTCTAGCTATCGGTACCCTGGGAAAGACAGGCTGGCTTGGAGCTCTGGTCATTTTCACTTTCTTTAGAGTAATCTGTTTTGATTCTAAAGAAACACTTATTCTTTTAATAGTAAACCCACAATCCTTGCTGATGATTCAGGACCAGAGCCAAGAATATCTCTGTAATAGTATCTATACAGCCATTACTCTGGTATGGAAATTGGAGGTGTCTCAAATTGCACATAAAGCATACCTTCTGCAATCAAATACTTTGTTGCCCATCTCTACATCTTAAGTGAAAACTCCAGGACCAGGACAACGAGGTATGGATAGCAGTCCGTTACTTATTTTTTGCTGAATAGTCTTCACCACCATGCTGTAGAAAAAAACATCCTGCTGGCCAAAACTTAAGTGCTATATCATGTGTGAGACAGAGGTGCTGGTCAAGAAGTGGGGTGAAAGGCATTGTGGCTTTCTGACTGTTTTCTGGAACTGAAACTAGATGAAGTTTGAACAAAAGTAAGAAAAATATCCTGTGATGTGATACGTGCATTGTAGCTGCATTTGTGTATTCTGCAAGCTAGACATATACTGTTTCATATGGGGGAAGTGCAGGTGTCACTGCCAGCTCTGTTGAAAGGAGACATGTCTGTAATGCACACCACTGTTCTCAAAAGAGCTTGGAATTGCTGAAATGATTCTAAAAGGCCACAAAAAGCAAAAATCACCAAGCAAAAGACAAGGTTTGTGACTGAAGAGCACTACAAAACAGACTTGTTTCCCTTCCTGAGAGCTGTTATCCCCAGGGAGACCAGAAGAACATGCTGTAAGACAGGTGAGGTGGCAAGAAGGAGAAAATGGGCTGCTGTGTGAATGGTGCTAGTAGCACATGAACAAACCTATCTGTCAGGAGTGCTGCAGTCAGTCGTAGAGGCTGAGCTCCAGTTAGGTAACAGTCAGTGGTAAGGCTTAGCTTCTTCAGCAAACTGCGCGTCTTCAGTTCACAACATTGGAGGTCTTGAAATGTTCTAATAGGCAGGCAAAGCATGTACTTGCTGCACAACCCAAGGTGGTTGATCTTCTAAAATGCTAGCTACTGCCAGAGTCACTACATAAACATAGCTCACTTAAGTTAGTTCAGGTATTTCAGACAGTGGTAGTAGTGTAGCTATGGCAACAGCAACTCAGCAGGGGGGGAACTGCCTATTTATCTCTCCATTTGGGCAGGTTCTGTAGCCTGAACTGAGCTGTATAGCAGCTCACAAGAGGTAAGCAGACTTTAAAACAGACTAAGTATTACCAAGGGCAGTAGTGCAGAAAATCTAGTAAAAAGAGGATTAGGATTAACTCTGAATTGGACAGAAAGAGGAGGATTCTTTTTTTCTTTTATTTATGCTGAAACCTTTCACTGAATGTGGATCATGATCACCACAGACCAGAGTGGTACTAAGACCAGTAGGTTCAATTCTTAAGAGATAATGGTGGATATAATCTGAAGATCAATATCAACATTATTTGCTCTGTTTGCAATCTTAAAAAAAAAAAATGCGAAGAAAGATGGGTTTGACGTTTTTTAAATAGATGGCTACAGAATAGTTCCAGGGCAGTAGAGCTGTCTCTGGAGTACTTCTGATTCATCCGTGGTCTCCATTCTGTTTGCAGTTCAGCTGGGATTGAGAGTTCTTACAGCTGAT